CTCTTAAAATCGTGCACGCAACCATAGACACACACACACACACACACCTACAAACACGACACGCAGCACAAAGACGCACACGGTGCTTAACAACAGAATCACCTTGGGACTGTAGACGAAGACCTTCCTGGATTTACATATTCAAACACACACATAGACGGCACAAGGACCAGATGGTCGTGGAGGCACCTTGCACACCTGTCATTCGTGAAAGCACAGACAGATTCTCTTTACCCTTTGACAAAGAGTAACGGAGAGATAAAAAAGTTCTCTCTTTTGGCTGTCTCGACATTCTGGATTGAAGTTGAAGACAAGCAACAGATTAGTCTAAAGTAGATGACAAGAGACGGGAAACACTCCATGGCAAGAGTGGCCCTTCACGTGGAGGTGATAGCCAAAAAGTAGTGTTGACATTCAAATAGTAGCACTGAAGATAGCAGCGTCCACAGTGTAAAGATTAACATGTAGAGCAGTAGTAACAGTCTGAGCCAACACTAGAGAGAAGTGATGAAAACACCAAATGTTCTTTCATTGCTACGTGATCATATAGCTTGTGATCTTTCATGCATGTTACAGTATAAATCTATTATTTTTAGTGTTTGTGTGGTGAAGGAAGTTTAAGGGAGACTATGGTTCCTCTGGTTTAGTGGTAAAATGTATCTCAGTGTCTTGATTTTTAAACATTGTGAAATAGTAAATGGACCAATCGGGTGTTTCTTGTAAGTTGGTTACTTTATTATACCTGTAGTAACGTGTATATTCTCTTTGTGTGTCCATTTTGTTTCAAAGGTCGTGGTGATATCCAGCCCCAGTTGGACAGTGCCATGCAGGATGTCAGCGATAAATACATTCTGCTGGAGGAGACGGAGAAACAGGCCCTGAGGAAGGCTCTTATAGAGGACAGACAGAGGTTCTGCTGTTTCGTAGCCATGCTGCGGCCTGTAGTGGTGAGTACAGTGGGGCAGAGAGAGGGAGAACTCGGCCTCCAGAAAGCACTAAGAGAACAAAAAAAGACCCTTTTTTAAACAACTGCTGCTTTCAAAAGAGGACTTATTTTTCCTAGAACGAGAGCTCATTCTGCCACTCTGCTCTCTTTCTGTTAGGATGAGGAGATTTCTATGTTGGGAGAGGTCACCCATCTCCAGGCGATCTCTGATGACCTCAAAGCCCTGACTTCTGACCCACACAAGCTTCCCCCTGCTAGTGAACAGGTGAGGGGAAATACCAGAGATGAAACCGTCCTCGGTTAAACAAAGCGTACCCTTTTGGTCCTGTATGACTTATCATTGGTTAACTTTCTTGGATTAAATGTAGCTGTGTTTAGAGCTGTTCCTCTTCACAAGTATGACGTGTGACTAACATGTCCCTTCCTCTCAGGTGATCATGGACCTTAAAGGCTCAGACTATGGTTGGTCATATCAAACGCCACCCTCATCCCCCAGCACCACGATGTCCCGGAAGTCTAGCATGTGCAGGTAGGCTCCTACAGCCAATCACAAGACTCATAACCGTGAATATCGTCTTTCAAGTACACATTTACCTACTTTACCCATATGAGTTGTTTTGTGTCAAAATGGTGTTGAATGGAAAATGAATTTACTGAGGAGGTGAACCAGCATACAATGTATTATTAGGTCATGTTGGAGATTATATGATAGCATGACATGTATACACACATAGGATCTACTGAAATCTGCAAATCTGTCCTGTAGACCCTCTAAAAGGGTATGGAGACCGCCTACATCAGTGTAATACAGTCAGGAATAAGGACATGAAGAAGAGCTTTTGTGTTGTCCAATCTCTGTCTGCCACCCAGTGGTCAATGTGGAGTAGTTTGCGACTTTATCCTAGTTTCATTGCGTCTCTGCTTCATCTCCTCTTTGTTAGTGATAGTTGTTCATTAAGTCACTCAGTGGACCTACTTTGTCAAAGTAAAGACACACAGATAAATAAAAAAAATAAGGATGGAAGGTTAGAGAACTTTAAAAGAATAGACAAAAAGCCTACTTTTGTTTAGTAGCTGTTCAGACCTCGTCTGCCACCGTCTGTCCTCCCTGCTTTGTGTGTGTCTCCCAATGATTTTTTTTCCTGAACTGTTGTGCTCTAAAGAAAGAAATGTAATGTTAAGCTCCAGTTGTGTATTGCTTTGCATTTGTCAATTTTGGGCTTGCTGGATTTCTGTGAATGAGTGGAAACTTAGATTACATGTTATGTCATGATGGGAGTGCTTCAAGGCCTTCCAGGTTCTCACAACATGTTGAACCCGCTACAGAGGATGTATTTAATAGTTCCTGTCTACCACAGGCCCTTTTCTTTTCTTGATCCTTAGATGGGGGATTTTTGAATTCACAAATCATCATGACACAGCCGCTTTTATGATTTTTGATGCTTTGCAATTAATAATTGTTTGTACATGATTTGGTACATATTGTATGTATTTTTTTACAATACACATTTTGCAATATACCATTTTTATATCCGCTTCAGATATTCAAATAGTTACTTCACACAGTAATTATACCCAGTGTTTATGCTGTTTTTGCTTTTCACTGGTGCGCTGTGTGATTATTCTCAAAGGCATGAAATCCTGTGGTTTCCTGTAATTATTGTCATTATGGTTTCACGCCTCTTATGTTGGTTTGTTGTTTTGACTGGATTGGCCTCGGTCACTGCCTGCTGCATCTTGGTGTGCTGTGTTAATTGTTTCCCACCCTGTCTCTCCCCAACCCCCTGCTTTCATTCCCTCTCTTTTTTATTTCTTTTATCTTTCTTATTCAACCTTCCTTCTTCAATCCATGTCTTTGGGTGCACTTGATTCTCTTCACCCCGCCTGTCACCGCCAAACTTCTCCTTCTCTGGTCCTCCCCTCAACCATCACTCCCTTCCCCTTTCACAGTAGTCTGAACAGCGTTAACAGTAGTGACTCCCGGGGATCCAGTGGCTCTCACTCTCATTCTCCTTCCTCCTCTTCTTCCTCCTCTTCCTCACACCACCTCTTCCACCACCATCACCCCTGCCAACGGTACTGTAGCTCCACGCTACCCCAGCAGGCCCCGGCCCGGCTCTCCAGCATCTCCTCCCACGACTCGGGCTTCATTTCTTCATCACACGACCAATACACATCGTCCAAATCCTCCTCGCACATGGCAGCTGAAACAAAGGTAAGAAAAACCCCTCGGCTACCCACACTTTCCCATCATTTTGCCTTTTAAATACATTCACGTGGTTGAGACTATAAAACCAAATATGCCCTATGATTTTCCAGTCATTGTAGTAAGAGACAGATGGAGAGAGAACCCCAAACCAGCAATCCACTCTTTTCTCACACGTCTTCCTTGCCACTATGAGAGGCTGTTAGCTGGCAGCAGGAAGTGTATGCGATCATGGTGAAGTCATTTTACTGCTGTTATTATTGCATAAATGCCCAGGAAATTAGTCGGCCTCCATTCTATCCCAGGGCAAAACAGGTCAGCCCCATCCTGCTATTAAAGAGCTGACTGCTGTGACAGACTGTGGTTTGGCTCGAGCATGCTGTGTGTTGTATTTTCATTAAATGTATCACAGTAAAATAACATGTTGCAGTGTCAACAGTATATTTTAAAGGCACCAAGAGTGCGTCTCCATCAGCAGGTCTCCTGTCAGTTTTATCCAACCATCTGACACACTGTTTCAGATAATCATCAATGTGGTCGTCCAGAGGATTATCTGCTTGGGGTTTGTGGTTTGAGATCAACCATGAGACATTTTTTTTTGCATGCCAGCGACCAGAGTTCCCCCGTCCAGAACACATTGGTGTAGTTGGACTCCAAGATTTTATGATGCAGTGAAGGTGGTTTGGCAAGTCCATACCCGACCCATTTGCAGTACAGTCCTAGGAATCAGCCCTCTTGTTGCCTCACTCTTGGTGCAGTTACAGTAGTTTGTTTGAAAGAGAGCAGTCTCATGGCCAAACAGGGTTTACATGGGCTTACTCCTTAACCAAGGGCCAATAAGGCTGGGCCACTTAATGTGGATATCTTTAATGTCCCTCTATTTTCAACACCCACTTCTATGGAGGGTGTAGTTCTGAAACTGGCCCAAACTCCTTATCCTTTTCTGGAAGGCAGCATGCAAAAGATGATTTCCCTATAGGCATATTATGGAAAGCACAATGAGTAGGATTTTCCTAAAAAACATCGGGCATCCAGGAGGTTAAAATGGCAGACAGCTCTGAAAATAACGCATATCTAGCGGGGGGGAAATGCCAAGCAGACAAAGTTCACTCCAGAACGAGGCTTTCACCCGCTGGCGAGCAGCGTAACCCTCTTTGAGCCGGGGTAGAAGGGGCCAACTTTGAAGTTGTTTGCAAACCACAAACCGACAAATCCTACTCATTGTGCCTTTAAGGGTAATAAAATAACCAGGGCTAATAGATGTCCCACATGTTGAGTTTGTGGGGATACTTTCAATGTCCTAAAGAAGAAGAACTTTGCCTGTGCTTCCCATAACAAAGCTGCAACACTGCTGATGATGTCCATGCAATTAAATCTGGTACGACTCCCAGTGCGCCCTCCTCTACAGTCGTCACTTGGCTGTACTCCTCACTAACTGCTGAGAACTGTGGAAAGTTGCCTCTGCTCTCTAACAAACTGCTTCTCTCTGCTTGTCTCTGTCTACCTGTTGACATGTCTGTCTCCCCCCCTCCCCCTCCCCCTTTGGTCTCGTCCCTCTGCCTGCTTGCTGCTCTCGCTGTCCCAGCCATGTCCCAGGTCCAGTTCCTCTGAGGTGTCAGAAACTGGGCAGCTCCACAGTGACTGCAGCTCCCCCTCTCCTCTAGCTGCTGCTAGTGCACCTCAGCACACTACTGACAAGGTGAAACACACTCATCCACCATAAACCTCACTCCTCTTTCACATGAATGTCTTGTGTGGTACCAGCATTACATGCCCCCAGCTTCATCACACTAAACTTCAAACCTGGCTGTACGTTGCATCAACTTTATCATTTACTATTGATGTTGATGTTCCTTTGTATGATTTCTCCCCAGTTATGTGGTGTGTTTTTGTTTTTATCATTTCAATAATTTATCCCATTTTGTGTTTGTTCTATTTGGTCTGTTTCTGTTATCATCCCTCCTCCTACCGACGCGCACACATCCAGTTGTCCAATGGCTTTGACCACTACAGTCCGGCCAATTCCTCTTACATGCATACCAACGGGGGGAGTTTGGGGTCAGGGTCAGGCACTGCCTTTCCCTTCTTCCCTCCTTCCTCCTCATCCTACACCACCACCACCTCCTCCTCCTCGTGCCCCACTCGTTCATGGTCACGTCCTCCCTCGGCCTTGCTGCCAGACCAACCTCACAACGGCCCGTTGGGCTCCCCCATGGTGCCTTCATCACGAGTCCCCAGCTGGAAGGTTTGTTCATCACCTCAGTCTTGATGTTCGACTTGTTCCCATCCTCCAACATGCAACATGCAAGCCTTGCTCATTTTGTTTTACTGTTGTTGTTGTTCATCAGTCTGCTTCTTTTATACTTTGGATTAAATCTGCAGCTGAAAATACAGTATGTGAGAAAGATTTCTAGGTGTTCATCAAATGCACATCAGAGAAATGTGAAATACAATGAACACTGACGTGTCTTTCTTTCCAGGACTGGGCTAAGCCAGGCCCTTATGACCAGCCCATGGTCAACACTCTGAGGAGGAAGAAAGACAAGGAGACCCCAGCTGTAGTGGACAGTAATGGTAGCAGCCGTTCCTCAGGCCCAGCCTCGGCGCCAGCTCTAGCTGCACTACAAACATCGTCATCAGTGGAGGAGAAGAACAGAACTTTGGCTGCACCGCTCAAGGTCAGTTGTAGTCCCTGTCTCATTCAAATACAGCCTGCCTTCATTAAGCCAATCGCGCTTTCTGCCAGGTATTTAGTATTGTTGTTATATTTTGCTGGTTTATGTTGTTAGATGGAAAGGAGCTCCTTATGATTTCAGACAGTCTGTTGAGTCTTTGTGCTTGAAAACATTAGTGTTTTTCTGTAAAATATCTCAATAGTTCAGCGCTTCAGTTACCTCTTCTTCTGCCAATACTGAGAGAAGCACATTAACAGAGTTCAGTCTACATTTAATGCTGTCTGTGTTGCTTAAGTTTCCGACCTCACATTCAACTTCCAGCAGCCTGATGTTTTTGCAGTCATTGCATTTAGAGCATGTGACTGAGCATCCCACTATTGACTGTTCCCTTTTAATGACTTTAATGAATTGCGCCTGGCTGCATCGAAACAGTGAGACTCTCGGGCCCTACCAAATGTGCTTTTTCATTTGGTCTTTGCTCCAGGCTGGTGATATTGAGGCTCATGAGGAATTGGCTCTGGCCTTATCCAGAGGTCTGGAGCTGGACACCCAGAGGTCCAGTAGGGACTCCATCCAGTGTTCCAGTGGCTACAGCACGCAGACCAACACACCGTGCTGCTCTGAAGACACAATACCTTCACAAGGTAACACTCTTGAATCAAGAATCGGATGGTTTAACAATGTTTAAGTACGCTGCTATACACTATCTTGTATCAGTTCAATGGTTAACATCTCTGTTTGTTCTTTCTAGTATCAGACTATGACTATTTCTCAATGGCCGGGGATCAGGAGCCTGAGCAGCAGCATTCTGACTTTGACAAGTCTTCCACCATCCCCAGAAACAGTGACATCAGTCAGTCCTACAGACTCATGTTCCAGAGCAAACGGCCGGCCTCCACAGCCGGCCTGCCCAGCACACACACTCCTTACCATGGACAGGGGGCCTACTCTGCAGGGCCCTATCCCCCCACACCTGTCCACACTGGGGCTTATCCTTCAACCCTTACAGGTACAGAGGCACTGATAGTGCCACAATTGGATGTGTACAATCTTTCCATTTTCACTTTGTTTACATTGTACGTTTGTACGGTGTCGTGTTGGTTTATGACAACAACTCTCTTTGAGACACATTTACTAAATGTAATACTCAGAAGAGTAGTTCAGGTCTCTCTTCATGTCCTTCATTGTCTTCTGCTTATTGTTAACAAATCACAAAGGCTGCTGTATAATATACTAAAATGCACTTAAATATGATTTAAATGCATTTTTGTAATTGTTAAATTCTCATTTGTGTTCCATCATTGCAGGAACATGTCCAGGTCAGGGATTTTTTTCTGGATCCAGCTCCTATAATGCCTCTGGCTCGTATTCTACAGGCCACGGTCCTATCATTGTCACCCCGGGGGTCGCCACAATCCGACGCACCCCCTCTTCAAAACCCTCCTCCCGCCGGTCAGGCTCAGCTGTGGGCACAGGCCCCATTCCTATTCGTACGCCTGTCGTCCCAGTAAAAATCCCTACAGTACCCAATATGACTGGAGCAGTAAATGGGAGCAAGATTGTAGAGGCGGTGGGAAGAGGAGGAGGAGGAAGAGGAGAAGAAAACCCAGATTCTGTAACATTTGCAGGAAGGGAGGATGCTGGCACGCTGCCTGTGATGTCCTGGAGTGGTCAGGCCACAACCAATCCTCCCAATGTACCCCTGCACAACCAGCAGCGCCTATACAGTGAGATAGGGCAGCAAGGAGGAGGTGAGGAGGCAGGAGAAGAGTTGGAAGGTAACATGCTGGTGGCCATCCGCAAGGGGGTCAAGCTCAAGAGAACCCTCACCAACGACCGCTCCGCACCACGGATCCCGTGATGACGCGACACAAAAACGCATGTGAGCTCCGGCTCTCGCTTCGTTGCGTTTGTAAATGAGGTCAAAGGCTTTTGGAGAAAAAAAAAAAAAAAAAAAAAAAAAAAGTACAGAATCAAAAGGCTTCTTTTGCTAGTATGAGAAATGTATTACACCTGTTTCTCATTCTGTAAATGTTCACCTGTGAGAGTCCCTCACTGCAGAAGCCATCTTTGATTCAATATGGAAAATACATAGATATGCTAATGTTGTGCTTCACGGGTTCTGAATTGGCCTATGATGCCTCAGAAATAATGTAAAGCCAAGTTCGTTAAAATACTGGTTTTGACCTAAAGTGGGACACAGGCCCACTTGTGGTAAGTCGAGTAATTATACGAGTACAAAGATAAGACCTAAGAAATGAGGTTGAATAAAGGTTGTTGGCCTAAGCACTAAAATGTTTTTTGCAAATCCGAGCCCACAGCTGTCTAATGCCAGAGTCAAACATGAGGATGTTTTTTGTTAATAAATCACAAGAGAAGGACAGAGTAGCATTACACCACAGTATGTTCATTTCTTTAAGACGACAGCAGAGACGTATTTTACACACATGCATCCAGTATTCTTCCTGAAGCAGAGGGTTGGACAAGGACAATGTGTTCGCCTCTTCTCAGTGTAAAAAGGACACTGTGTGAACGAACTCTCATTGTTTTGGGAGCACTTCACCATCGTGGGACAAATGATCCTTCTAACTGCGTCCATTTGACATCTCCTGGATTGCATCGTCTGTGTCCGTGGAGGGGACGCCCTGATGGCTGTAGGAAGGTGCTGTGTTGTCATCCACTCACTGTTCAAATGCTTCATACTTGAGATATCCACAGAGCTGACACGGACAGAGGTGTGGGCGACACAGAGAGCTCCTCGAGACGCTAAAGTGAACTTCCACGTCAAAGTGGGAGGAGACTACAGTGTGACTAAAGCGTCACATGGTTGATGCCGTGACATTAACAGCTACTACGAGTTACGTCCTGTTTGAGTTGTTTTAGTATTCACATGATTTGTAAATAGTTTTGCATGTCTCTGTTGCTAATGTTGGTGCTTCTTACTGTGTATTTCCTTCTGCTGCTCCACAGTGGCACAATCGTTAAGTTTCACATCTTTAAACAGGATAGTTATTCATTTCATATAATGATCATCAAACCTTGTTACCTTTGGGCAGGAATTCATTTTATTTTCATCATTTTTTCCAAGTATGAATCTCATTTAATCTGCATTATCTACATGCTGAGCTTTGTAGAACTCCTCAGTGGTTCGTGTTTATATATTAGCCCTTATATATATATAGTATATATTAGCCCCTTGTTTTTTGTAGCATTTATTAGCCATATTATTACACACATAGCCATTAGCCATAACATTACTAATAAATGTCAAAGTACAGATGTGCCATTTCAAAACTCAACATTAAATCAAATTGATATATATTGTAAACTATTTTATCAGACTTTTTTTTTTTTTTTCAGGACAAATATTTTTTGATGTTTCTGAAGTTCTGAGTAGAAAGCTGTAATTGGTAATGCCACACCGGTTCTATCGCTCTGTCTGGTTGCTGTTGTATCAAACTCATTGTTGTCTGCTTTGAAACGCATGTAGCGTGCACGTGTCCTGTTGATTAATTAGGTTTTTACTTTTGCGTCCGTCAACTCCAATTCTAGTGTTTGGATTTTTTACAGGAGCAACAAAGGTGGCAAGTACATACGTGTGGATTTTGTTACACTTAAAACTCGGCGATCACACCGATGTGCATCGTGGAACTTAAGAAGTCCATCACCATGGGTACAATAAGATGTTTGGGAGATGATGACTGCAGCGTTGTGAGACTATCGGCTGAAACCAGTTCGTATCTCCGAGTCATTGCCTGTATTTTCATTTGCATTTCAGTTCAAGCACTGTGAGACCATGGCTACTACAAGATGTGTGAAACTGTAAATGTTATTCAGCTTTACAGGTTAGTCCAAGAACTCACTTATTTTATTTATTTTCTTCTGCTCAGTGTTGTTGTTTTTTCCTCAACCTATTTTTATACGTGTATATATAAACTATCGGAGTAATAGAGTTGTTTCCTCTGTCCATGCGTGTACTATCTGATGTGTTGTTTCATCAGTGAAATGTTTATGACCGCCCTGCTACGATTCATTGACGTCCCATATTTCACACACGCGTAATTGCACTTCATTTTGATAATCGCATAAATGCTGGCTGGTTTAAAAATTAGCAGTAGCTACAACAAAGTGTGTTCCTCTTGAAACATGATTTAAAAGGTTTTGGTTGTATAATGGTGAAGCCTGCATCAGTATTATGGGTTGACATGTTCGGGACGAACGGTATTTGCATGATTGAGGGCTGATTCCAGACCAGTTTCAGTTAAGTCAAGCATATCTTCAGAAGGAGTTTGCCTGAATCATTGTTTTCTAATTTTTAGAAATGAATATGTTTCTGCTTAACACATATTTTGGAGCGACTGAGCTGAGAGCAGACCGATAACAGCCCTGATATCAAGTGTTTGCTGGAACAGATGGTGACAAACGTTTAGCTGTTCCCTGAAAATGAGTTTAAAATGTTTGTACCTGTTATTTACAACTCATTTCAGGCAAAATGTTATTGAACTGTTCATCTGGTCGGCATCAAATCTTATTAGGTTTAAACAAATGGCACACTGTCCAGTGTCTGGCCTGATCTGACCTGAAGTTTCCAAAGACATCTCGGCATGAAAATCCTTTCTGTATATTAAACAGATTTCCTATGTGTTTAATGTAAACAAAGGTACAATAGCAGAAATGTCAGCAAAAGAGGTGATGATGAGGGCTGTAAAACAAGAAAGATATCATCTCTGCCTGCATTAGAACCATAGTGTGAACAGGGAGATGCACCACAAACCACTTGCATACATGATACCCCTCTACTGTCTGATTTCAACAGAGCAAAGATGATATTACTTCCTAGATGTTTCTGGAAACCCAGCTTCTGGAGATTGTTGATGTAAATATTTCTGTTTGTTTTTTGGCCGTCCAACCTGTCTAAAACGTATATTATCGACCTGTAACTTCCATATTTAAATTGCTAGCATAAATATATATTCTATCAGAGTTGCCAAAAGCCAGTATATCCTATAATTCAGACGTTTATAGTTTGAGGGTTTAAAAGTACAATATTCCCTGGATTCTAGTTTAGTTTTTAGCTTATTGTTATTCCCCCCCGAGGAGAGTTGACCTCTCTGTCTATCTCTGTACAGTTCAACAGGCTATAATGCAGTTTGTTTCAGGAAGTAAAAGGTTGTTATTTTTTGTGTAATGACAGCTTGAGCAATATAATAAAAATATAAATTTTGCTTTGGCTCACTGACTTCTTGAATGTGCAAGTGTGTGACCTCTGTGTGGATCAAGAGTATCAAACATTAGACCAGAACACCTCCCTCATATTTGCTTTTCTTTCAGGCCTAAAACATCTTAAACCGATCAATTTCATCTCGGATATTCCTGAACTTTAAGATGAATAGTTGACAAAACACACTCACTGCAACGTCCATTTATCAGCTGTCTAGGACTTTTCATCCGTTTTGACCTGAGAGTTGAGCTTGACAGTTCATTTCTTACCTTGAAAGCAGCAACTGAAAATCAATGGGGAGAATAGTTTTTTGCACGTTGATCTCTCATGAAGTAACTGAATACATTGATCTGTGTGCCCGTTGTGTTGCTTGTGACGGAGCTTTATACCCACCCAGTCTGTAAACGGATAGGGTTTGTGAAATATTGTCATGTACAGGTTCAAAGTAACTGAAGAGTAGAATAACACGTTTTCAAAAGATAAACCTTCTCTACCTTCGATTAGGATGCAAACTGATGATGTGCTTGGTTCCGGCCACCAGGGGGCGCTGAACTCCTTTTAACACCCAACCCTGGTTTATAGCTTCTACTTGGACAATGCATCACTCCTCCCATCCTTCGAGGCCTGGAAACACTCGTCTAATAAATACAAGTACAGACAAAAACAACCCATCTCCCACAGTCGCACAGAAGGCGAGAAACAAAGAATGCATCGGCTCATGAGTAAGACAAAAGGCTTTTTCCTCTTTTGCCTCGTGTGCAGGTTTCCTCCCTGACCTAAATATCTTCCACATGGTGTCATATTTTCCTTGGGTGTGGACTGTAGTCTGGGTGAATAGCTCAAATGCCCCACGTGCATTATAGCAGAAGGAGAGATGGGCACACATCCAACAGACAAGCAGTCCTCTCACTGAAAGAGCCGTCCGTCTGTTACATTCAGTACTGTATGAACACTATAATACGTCAGTGTCTGCTGATATCATTATAACAGACTCCATTTATCTCACCAACTTAAATTATCAGGACCAAATCAGTATTTATTTGTGTGTTATGGCAGATGTGTTGTAGTATAACACGAATACAGTTGACTGTTATTTACCGTCCTTATTCACGGCATCGACGTAAGTCTGTCGGTGCCGTCAGAGTTACGCACAGAGGAAAGCGGCGCTGCTATTGGAACGTATTTTCGTGCGCGCTGGCCGCTGACGTGCCCTCCCATCCGCCTCACGCCATCCTGCCAACCAGAGGTTACACCAGCCGGGGATTTATGCTCGCAAATATGTGATTCCGTACAAATTGCAATCGGCCAGTTTGCTGTTTGAGGTTTCGTGCGACCTGTTAAGACATTTTTCCCAGCTGGAAAATAGGAAACGCGCGTGCCGGAGCGGCTTCTGTGTTTTTAAGGTTTTTTTCTTGTGGAGGTTGTCGGACGGGACAGCGGAGCGTCGACCGAGGTGCGTCCGGATAAGACAAGTTTCAGTTGGATTTTCGGACTGCTGTCGCATCTTTTCCGAATTTGTTTTGTTTTCCAAACGGCTTGTGAGATGCTCTCGAGTCCTTCTATTCTTAAATCATGTGTAATAGTTACTGTGAGGCCCGTTTTGCCCTTTGATAACCCCGAGCTGCCTCCACACTGGGGATGTGTAGGCTGTTATCGAGCCGTCGTTGCAGCGAATATTTGAAATGATGGCAAAAATATTTCATAAAGCGACTTGTCGTATGTGGTGGTAACTAGGCCTGCTGTACTGTCCTCCCCTCTCTTTCTCCATCAGGTTCCCGGCGCATTGCTCTACTTCCCCCCCATCCCAGCGATGCTGCCCTGCCTGCGGAGAGTCCTGCGGCCCGCCCTCTCTCTGAGAGCCGGGACCCAGTTGGCCACAGCCGGACTCGGCAGCCACCATCTACCCGCTTTAGCCTCTTCTTCGCGGTTCATGCCGGTGCAGCGGTGTAACCTGGGCACACACCCGCTGAAGGAGCCCGTGGAGCCCCTCGACTCGTCCCGGGGAGCCAAGGAGTTCATTTATACTCTCCATCCGTCTGAGCGTACCTGTCTGCTGCGAGAGCTGCACAAGTTCGAGTCCATAGCCATCGCTCAAGGTAAGTGATGTGCTACAGTACAGCGTGATCTATCCTCATACATGACTAATATATAAAATACTTCAGAAAATGCCTTATTGAAATCATTTAAAACTGATAATGTTTTTTGCATCATCAACTGCACGCCCTAGTTAAACTATTGTTAACCTCTGGACACTAAATGCATTGACAAGCTATTGATTGTAACGGTTAAATGTCAGTGTCATCACTGTTGACGTAAGCTACAGTTTCAGGCTCCAGTATCAGGAGACAGGCTGTAATGAGATGGAGTAACATGTAGTGTAGTTAACAGTATTGTGTTGATGGCATCACAGCTGGGATTTGAATCTCCTGATGGGGAATGGAAGTCTAAAAAAGTTGGAAGAGTCTGGGTAAAGCCTATTTTTTTCTAAAACATCACACCGTAGTTCCACGGAGACGGACAGATAACTCCTGACCTCTGACCTCCCTGAGAGAAAAGAGAATCTATTGGCACGGATCAATACAGCGTGTCGCCATAACTTTAACTCTTTTTTCCACACCAAGCATCACTCACACACTATGTCAGTGGGGAGTAGACGACAGTGTCACTCAGTACCGAAGCCCAGGGTTGTGTTCAGATGAATTATGCGGACACTCGGATGTTTAAAAACGGTATCAGATTATTTTTGGGGGGGTTTCATGAAACATAAGAATGAAATTATGAGACTAGCGGAGGAGCATTGTGGATGTCACACAGACGCCGAGAGAAAGAAGGAAGTGGGTCGATCGATACGGAGATAGAAGAGAATAGAGGGAAAGACTTGAGTGATGAGGAAGATGCTCTGCGGAACATGAGGTTCTCTCTGGTCGTGTGCTGCTCTGAGCTCATGTCATCTCAACCTAAAAATAGATTCTTGTAAATCTGTCCAATGACTTTAATTTTCATGCCTGCCAAATTGTTGGACATTGGATTTGAATGTGGAATACACAACTCTGCAACTATTGCAAAATAAAATTAGAATTATATATCCTGGAAATGCATTTCTCAGTGAAAACATCAATATTGATATGAGAGCTCTGGAATTGCGGATAAAAGAAGAAAAAAAAAGCACTGTTGCTGTATTCCTGTAGAACTTCTGGGGAGTAAGAGAAGTTTACAGCGGAGCCTTGTTTACTGTCGTGTCTCATGATGGACAAATGATTCCCATCTTGTGGGAGACCCTGCAGGGTAGCCTCAAATATCTCAGGCATCAGAAGATTATAAATCACAATAATCCCGAGAGTCTCTCAATTCCACTGCACCAACAATTGGATAGTTCTTATTTTATGAATACTCTTCTTCCTGTTACTTGACTAAACTAACTAGCTGGACTCTCGCTACCCTGTATACCAGGCTGCTTTCAGCCATTCAGCATCACACTGCTGAATGTTGACCATACATGCATCAGTTGCTCTATGAATATGTCATGGGTGTACTGTTTCTTCTCAGTAGGTTACATTGTAATTTTGGCAGCGATAATAATGTTAAAAGTGGTGATTACAGAGATGCCCGTGAAGACAATAGCAATGATTGTTAAGCTCGGAGGGTTATATTGCTAAACAGATGAGCACTTCTGTTTTATTCACAGACCATGTTGTTTAGTGTTCACACCCTCAGTGATCATTATTGCTGATAACAGTTGACCCTGTTCCATTCCAACTAGATAGTTTCCCCCTCATTGCACAGAGGAAATTACCTTATTAAAGAAATACAGAAAGTTGCCCCCTTTCCTCATTCCCACTGTGTATCCGGACTCTGGGGAAATGACAGAGACAATTGTTGCCGGCCATCATTACGAGGCGTTTCAATAAGATTGTCCACGCCCGGCGCTACCTAATCGTACATTATTATTTTCCTGTCGGATGTGGATGATTGCATCCTGACCACATGCTGCGAGCCGTCCCTGTGCAATATCAACGCCGCGCAAACGGCGATAAATTCCACATGAGCATGACATTGTCGTGCAATATCGGAGAATGTCATGCTTCTTTAAAAAGCAGACAGCGTGGCATGAAAATGGAGAGATGTTATGACATTTTTTTCTAGATTTTGAGCTTCCGTGAAATGCAAAAAAGAGGCCTATACAGTAAGTGAGGTTTTTGTATCGACCCCGAACAGATCGACAAACAACTTCATATTTTGTAGGATTCATAACCACCATAAATTCTCAACCACAGATGAGAGAATAGAATAGCCAGAGTACTGAGGTGACTATAGAGGACAGCTCCTTTCGTCTGTTCTCACCTATGGGGCCTGCCTGGCTGGCGCTGCCTGACATCCTCACCTTCATGCTATAAAAACCCTCTGGGGTTGTCTTACCTACTGTATGTGCCGGGCTGCAGACCAGCTGAATCAGTGATTGCTGGACCGGTCGACTCGCTGTCTCACTGACTTGCCAGCTGAGAGATTGATTTTGTTAGACAGGCTCATCAACAGCCATCATGATTCTACCCAGAGGCTGCAGGGACAGCTGGAGCAAAGCCCTTATTCTCCTCATGTTTACATGCAGGTTTGCTGAATGGTGGGGAAAGTGGCTGTCTGCCTGAGCTTAAAGCTCCCTTACATATACTGTATCTTTGTACTGGACAGTCCTCGGGTTAGTGGAAGGCCACGCTGTTTGAGGCATGTTTACTGAATGTGTACTGAATGAATTCACCTTCTGGATTGTGCTCTTAGATTTAGGTTACACATGTTACGATACAAGAAGCCTGCCAGAACATTTAGTCAGTTTACTCAAATTTTTTTCCAGTTTGTTTCAGCAAACAGTTGTTTGCTTACACATCACTGGAGGGGATTTAAGGTCCATTCAGGAGGTTTGAAGAGCTCTTGTACAGGTAGAAATGCCCCGTTCTAAGAGAAACAGGAGGAGCGAAGGCAACAAAAGAAAGAAAGTCAGTTAGAAGACAGAGGTGAGGTGAGATGAAGGCAGAGATATTTAGAGGATTAACAGCATCCTGATGACTCGTCATGAAGTCTCAGGAATGACACTGTCAGAGACCAGCTCAGTGATTGTTCCACGGGCCTTTACATGGTGCAGAAATATAAATATTTGAAATAACTAACCAACTAATGCAGGGACTGGGATATTCATATCAAACAAAGAATGAATTATTGAGTTAGGATACAGTAGATAATGCTCTAGTGATTCTCATTGTGAGTGTAAAATATTGATAGAGATATTGAATAGAAGGACCTCATTGTAACTGTGATGATCAGGATCTTATCTCCAGATTCCTTCAGTAAACCCCCAAATAAATCATTTTCACCAAAATATATTTCTTGAGTGAACATACTAACCTCGTTATTTTTAACCCAAAGTAGGCATGGTTGAAATCAAGCATGATAATTCTGGTAAATAGAACTGCGATATATATCTTTGAACATTAGTTGAATTATTAGTTTGAATGATATGAGTTCCTGAAGGACAAACTTCATCAAGTAACCTATAAACCTGGTCACAAAAGCAATTTTTATTTTACATTATAACACATTTTAAGGCATAATCAATATGATACTTGACACTGTATAGTTCATAAACCGTGAAGAGGAGAAATAATCTACCAGGAGTAAGGATGATCTATACCGATGTTTTTGTGGAAATAGGAAAACATATTTCTCACAGACCTCTCACACCAGGAACATAGAGGAAGCTATTATTGCATATTAAAGTATCATGTGCAATTTACAAAAATACAGGAGTCCTCCTCCATCCTTAAAGAGAAACAAAGCAAAGGTTTGATGAATGACTGAATGAATGAGAGAGCAACCAGAGATCCTTCTGTTCCATCTGGCCCTCTGTGATCATCAGCTACTGAGTGACTCAGTGACATCCACTACACTAACATGGCTTTCCTTCAGTCCTGCTGGTAGAAAAGAAAATGTGAGAGGAGACAAGATGGAAGCACTTACCCTGCATGGCTCAGAGCATGGAGAAGTACTGTCGGGGGGGAAAGCAGATTCAGCAGGTATAATGACACCAGGATCAAAGCTTTCATACTCTTTCTTCAGGTGTGTCTATTTTGAAGGGAGGCATCATATTTTCTATGCTTACAGCATTGCTTTCGCGGTGCCTGGTGATATTATATTCCTCCTTTTTTGTTGAAAGGGGAAGCCGTGTCCTTTATGGGGACAAAGGAGAGCACCTTTTTATTTCTCCATTCTTCCTCAGCTCATGCAGTCTTATGCGAGTTGTATGTCTAATTCATATACGCTGCTGCATAATGGTAGTCCATGGTGACATTTCACCTGCTGTGACCCATGCACAAACACAGGTGACTCTCTTCAGTCTGTTATAAATAAGAGTGGAGGCATCCGCATTGTCGAACATTTCCAAATTGCACTGTCATGTCGCTGCCATCGTGCTTTTACTTGACTTTCTAAAAAGCAGCAGTGATTCACGTTGAATTACTGGAGTTAGTAACATGCCAGATACTCATTTCTATTGTGGACATTGTTGCTGTGACATTTGTCTGGTCATTTGTGTCCAGAAAACACAGTATTCATCACATAGACTGCAATAACGTGCTGTGTGTATTTATTGATTGCAATTTGCTGCCAACAACAGAGCTGCAGTCATTAATAACTAATCAGTGTCAGTGTGACAAGGAGATGTCTGACTAAGCAGTTCTTCATTGGAGACATCCCGAAACTGCAGTGGGTGCTAAACCCCAAAACATTAAGTGATACCTGTTGTTGCTGATGCTGGAAAAAAATAAATAGGCAGTGTGATGTTGATGATGATGAGTGAAGTTTTCTCCTTTTACTTTTGTTATGAACACACATGGACACGGATACGTGGAAAGAAGAGAGTTTTTATTGTAACAGAGGATCTGGTGCCAGCGGGAAGGAATAGAGATGATGGCGTGAGCAGGAAATGTGGGAGAAGCGTGGAAAGCAGCTGTAGCTTTGAAGCTAGTTGATAGCTGGCTGGATGACGGACAGACAGAGGAGAACCAGGGTAGTTATACGAAACACGATGAAGCAGAATCACTGGGAATAT